ATCAGTGGTGGGATTCATCTGGTTCGCACCACTTCAGCAGAACCGGTAGCTAATTTTTTGTTGCCCGGGCCCAGAATGGACTTCTGGAAGTGGCATACATACAGAGAACCGGTTGTTCACATATTTGAATCCCACCACTGCCTCAAATGACACACATTTTTTTTTTAAGTTTAGAATCCTAACATATGTACATAAAAGTAAACTCTTGTCAATTAATAGGAGATCCTTCGGAACACTGTTGAACTGACTTATACATATTTAAGCTGTATTAGCTGTAAGCTCCAAAAATCTACTTAAAAATAAAGATTGAATCTATTTTATCTAATTCTAAATAGTACACATATACTATATACATACACAATTGAATCTAGCACTTCAATTGACAATATTAGTGATGATCCTTGGTAAGATCAGAATTCTTAAGCTAAAGCTGCAGAATTTGGCTTTTGAAATGATTATATTTATTTGACTCAAATTTCTCAAGATTGAGAGATTATTTCTCATAATTCAACTGAGTCTTATTTCTACCATCTAAGATTTATTTAAAGCACTTAAATAAAAATAGTAAGGAAATGATAAGTTTAATTAAACTAATTCAGTTTAGGCACTGCCCAACTTTGGATGGCTCTGGCTGGCTCACAATGTAACAACAACAAAAATATAATATGAATAATTATTGACAAAATAAAGAACAAGAAAAATACGAACCAAAAAAAAGGAGAAAAAAAAGGAAGAGAATAAGATGATTATGTGGCAACAATAGCAAAAAGCACACCATATAAGGAAGGATCCCACCCTAGCCTAAAGCTTGGAAGAACAGACAGGTCTCTTCCAGAATGCCAGGGTGGGAGATACACAGATTTTCAGAGGAACTTCATTCCGAAGACAGAATGTATGACAGAGAATGCCTGAAAGATAATGCTTTTGAATTGAAGAGACCTGACGCTCATTAACCCTGCCACCTCACACTGATGGACAGACACAATTGGAGATAGGTGGTCCATCAAATAACCAAGCTCCATGACATGCAAAGATTTATAAGTCATATACAGCACTTTGAATCACACCTGAAAGCAAAGTGACAGCCAGTGCAACTCTCAGAGCAAAGGTACCACATGGCCAAGCTATGCCCACCACTGCCCATTCAGAAGCAATGTTGTGTTTGGACCAATGGAACCTTCCAAGTAGTCTTCGATGTTAGTCCAATGCAGAGCTCATTACTTTAGTTCAGCGGTTCTCAACCTATGGGTCGCGACCCCATTTGGGGTCGATCGACCTCTTTTGTGGGGTCGCCAAACACGGCGATCCGCCATTTTGTCGCCTCCGGGGGCGCGCTGCGCCTCCAGGGGGCGGTGCCGTGCACGCGCGCCGTGCGTGGGGGCGGCGGCGCGCCTCCGGGGGGCGGCGCCATGCATGCGCGCTGCGCATGGGGCGGCGGCGCGCCTCTGGGGGGCGCCGCCGCACATGCGTGCCGTGCATGAGGGCGGCGCCGCGCCTCCGGGGGGCGCCGCCGCACATGTGCGCTGTGCGGGCGGGCAGCGCCGCGCGTGTGCACTGTGTGCAGGGGCCCGCCCCCATGCGCGCTGCACGCGGGGGGGCACCGCGCATGCGCGCCGCGTGCGGGGGCCCCACCCCCATGCGCACCGCGCCGCGCATGCGCATAACGTTTGTGTGACGGGGTCGCCATCACACAAACGTTGAGAACCGCTGCTTTAGTTGAACCATGACTGACTAGGGAATAAGTGACTGTCTGAAGAGCCTCCCAATCTAGGAAAGACCACAACTTGTGCATGAGATGAAGTTGTGCAAAGCACCCATAGCTGCTACCTGTTCATAAAGCCTAATACATTTATTTAAAAATAAATGTATTTCTAAAGTGTTTTTACCCAAATAAACACATTTAACTTGGCACTTCAATTAAGACAGCCTGTTGATTTCCAGATATCATAAATTACTGTACAATTTCTAGCATTCACAAGGTCAGCAATCACCTAATTGGTTAGGATGATAATTATATCTCAGTGTATTTGGAAGACTCAAGGGTGACTTAAATATCACGGAATCAAGAAAGACTAAATATATAGCACTCCATCCTTTCCCTATTTTCCTCACAAAAGGCCTACGAGATGGGTTGTGAGTAACTGGCCAAAGTCAGCCAGTGCCAGCTTTCACACCTAACACAGAACTACAACTCATGGTCTTCTGATTTTTAGGTCAACACCTTAACAACTATGCATATATATGTTTGTGTGTGACCCTAAATAGAGAAATCTCATACAAATTGAAAGGAGAAAATTATGTATGCTAAAATTTATTATGAAAATTATCTTTAAAACAGAGATTGAAAACTTGAAATGCCATATTGCATGAAGCTGTAAAGTCCTTTTTATGGTTCCTGGTGTCAACAGGTTTGTTAAAATCTGATTGCCAGAGTTTGACACTTTTAAGTAGAAAATGTTAAAAATTGTAATGCACTTAGTTTGAAAATAAAAATAAAAAATATTTCAGATCCTACCTCCTCCAATACCTACTGTATAAAGGGAATATTTAAATACTGTTATTACTCACCCTACATCATTTCCCATTTACAAATGTTAATATATGCAAGGTTATCAAAAAGATCTCCCAGACTTGCTCTGTATCAATATTAAAATCTTATCATGCTAGAAATTTTACAATATCAATAAAACCACAAACCTAGAAAAACACACACATACACACACAAGCACACATATGTGTGTCAAATAGGTGAGTTTACAAAAACATTTTTGTATTGTTCCACATGCCATGTATTATGATTTATAACCTAATACATAGGTTTGTGATAGTTCTACTTTGTTCTCTAATTTTATTTACTTGTATTTTAATAGTTGCAGAACAGGATATAAATGAAAGTATCAAACCAATTTATTTTCACAGACTCCAAATCTTAAGAAAAGAGAGCCAAAATAATATCAGTATTTTTTAAAAAATAATCCATGAAGGTGCATATCCAGCAGATAATTTCACAGCAACAGCGGAAGTTTGATATTAATAATAAGTCTTGGATAATATCCTATTAAATTATACAAGTGAATTTTTCTGTTAACTAGAAATGATAACCTAATAATAGTAACAATAGGGCCAGAAAGACTGAGCACTGTGAAAGAAAGCTAGGAACGGTTGATATCCACCCACATGATTGTCCCCAAAAGCATTTTGATCGGCAAATATTTGAATTCTATACTGGGGCAAAAATAAGAACAACAAATCACATTTTAGGATCAAAACAAATCTAAACAAAAATCCCTAATGGTTTAGGTTAAAGATTTAATGTATTCTAAAAAGCATGGACAGTAAATTAAGTGATGATGTTATTGTCTGTGTCCACTACAATGCAGTATGGTTAAGCATAAAACCATGATTTATGATTTAGTATGTGTGAACATCTCTCTTTGGTTTAATACATTTTTAATTACAATATATAACTGCTTAGCACAATGTATGAGCCTATCCACCTCACATTTTTACATATTGTGTCTATTTACAACTGTAACTGTAATAAGAGGTGTTCAGTGGCTCAAAGATGCTGAAAGTGGTCTTTGTTCTGGTGGTTCAAGTCCTAAAACTGTGTGGTGGAATGAGTTCACTTGCTTCTAGCCAACCTATAAGTTCTAAAGCATGCTACATGCAAGTAGGTAAATAAGTACCACTTTGGTGAGAAAATAACAATATTTTGTGCGGTAATATGAATCCAGTCGTTGCCAGACCTTCCCTAATGCAACATCCAAGTGTGAGATGACATCAATGGAGGGAGAAACTCTGGCTCACTGCTGCAGAATGCCATTGAACCTGAGTGTAGAGGTAGTCTGTCCCCTATGGTGCACTCTAAATAGAGCACAAATGTGAACAAAATGGACTAGCAATTCTCAGCAGTAAAACAACTACTCTGTACTAACACTGTAGTTTCCTGGCATCTCCATACACAAATACACTCCATACACATCCAACATCTCCATACACCAAATAAATGTAATACATAGAATACATAGTAAATTAGTAAGTAGAAAATCGGTATAAAATTAATAAGTTAATAAACGGTTGTTTCCTTAGAGGATCTGATATAGACCTGTCAGTCAATTTTCCTTGTATTATTAAATAATAGCCATAAATACACTAAATAGACCATTCAGAAATAGCTTGTCAAGTCATGAAGATAAGTCATAAAGATATACTTCACCAAACAAGTGTTAGTTTATTCTTCATTCTGTAGCATTCTCATTCAAATACTGTTCTGCTCACCATGATGTTTTTATTCAATTACACAGTCATCAAACATGACTAACAGTATGTAAGATGTCCTCAATAGGAATATGCAATCAAAAGATTACAGCATTTCTTTTGTATTGGGGAGCATCTTACAGATGTCTTCAAAAATCCTTTAGTATAAATGGAGTTTATCAGCTATGTTTAACTCAATAGAAAGCAAATTTAACATTTATCTTTGTTAGCTTAAAACAGTGCTCCCTAAACCTGAGTAAATTACCCCAAATTAAATAAAAATGTTTTTTTGCTTTGGGTAAAAACATGCAAATAGAACAGAACAATAACTTTATTGTTATTGTTAATCAATATACATTAAAAATAAGATTTCATTGCATACAGCTCTCAAAGGGTAACCACCTCCAATATATACTGCATAAACATGACCAAAAACAAAACAAAACAAAAAACCCATTATCTAATCACAACAGGATATTTAAATTGACTTAAAAAGTTTTACCTACAGTGGGTAAAAAAAGATTTTCAGATATGCAGTTTGGGGTAATGAAGGAAAAGATTTGAGATATTTGAGTTGTCCCTATCAGATACCCTATTTCATTTTTTCCCAAAAGCTTAGTTTTAAGCAATGTACAAACAAATAGATGAAGTTGCATAAAAACATATGAGGCAATATATAGTATGCTTACTTTGTAGCAAGTAAATATGTTGATTTTATATAACAGAACTTCATAATTTACCTTCCACTCATCCAGAACAGCAATGGACAGTAGTATCTGTGAAGGATTCCATGTGCTAAAGGGACTGAAGAGAGATCTCCAGTAAGCAAATGTACATTATTAGACCACAATTTATTTTGGGGCCATCATGGATAACCTCCTATAAATATCAATTCACAAGTAAATCCTAGTGATCCAATGGGTTGATTCCCATGTAAGAAGTAATAAGATATTACTTCAATTTGTTGAATTCTTCATCACATTCAACAGTTGAACATAACATAAGTCAGTTTTGTAATTATGCATGCTTATAAATATATATTAGAAAACAATAACCTTTAATCTGAAATATTATTTATTATGTAAAAAATGGTAAATTATAGTATATGTATCTTATAACAGTGTTTATAAAATGATATAGGTAATCACAGCTCTCTGATAGGAAACATTAACAGATAAGAAGTAAGAAATTACACATTGAATTAATATTTAACTATATTTTTTAAATTTTGCTTTTGCTAATAGAAAGTAGAATACAAAAAATTGTACAACAATACAAAAATCACAGCCCTGTTCACATCTACAGATCCAGAATTAGCCAAAGAATCCATGACTGCATTGCTTCACAGTACACTTGACTTAATTGAATACAATATCAAAACATCCAGGATTATGGATCTCACAAACCTCTACTTAATTACATACTTGCAATTTGATGGCCAAATTTACCAGCAAATTAAAGGGAAACCTATTGGATCACCACTTGCAGGACTTATAGCGGAGGTTGTCATGCAAAATCTAGAAACCATAGCACTTCCACAAATACAACCAAAAATATGGATCAGATATGTAGACGACACCTTCACCATAATAAAAAAGGACCAATTAGACAATACCCACAGAACTGTCAACAACATTTTTAAAGGAATCCAGTTTACTAGAGAAGAAGAAAACAGGACTTCCGGTTTTGCGCGGTAACGACCTGTCACGGGCTTGTGAATTCTGCACACCCCCGTGGCTAATTTCGCCCTCCCTAGGGACCCTAGATGGGTCTAAGTCACCCCGCAGAGGCAATGAAAAAAGAAAGGTGCTCCAGCAATTCTGGAATGGCGGTGGCTGTTCCGTTCGACTTGGGAAAAGCCTTCTAACCCAACAGGAGAAAGGGTGACCGTATTGCATCAACCAGCCCAGGCTACTAGCAACCAAAGTCCAAAAGCACTAACCAGCACAACTGTGAACAGCGTGCTTGAAACTGGGTGAGAAATTCGATCTTCTCTTTTCTATTTTACATTTAAAAGATCCCCAAGAAGCAAAATACCTTCAAAGGGGAAGGAGGAGGATTTCCCCCCCCACCCTTATACTAACAGAAGCGGCAAATTAATCTTTTTTTGGAGGATCAAAATATATGGAATTAAAATAAATATAAAACCTGAAATTTAAAATTTAAATCTGGATAAATATAAAATTGTTTGAATGCTTAAGACTCTGATTCTAAAGATAATTGTTCATTTTGGAAATTGAAAAACAAATAACTACTGATACCTAGTGGCAGATGGAGACTATGACATCTATGACTTTAATATAAGACTTGGCAAAACCTGGGAAAAGCTAATCTGTGTTTGTGACTTTCAAAGTTTTAACAACAAAGAACAGCTGTGACAAAAAAAGAAAGACAATAATCTGGGCTGTAGACAAAGAAAAAATTATAAATTTCAGAAAAAAAATCTTTTTTGAACTATTTGGATTACAAATATCTATTTAATTGGGATTCTAAAGCTATTTGCAGAGAAAATAAAGGAAGAGAAAAACTCAAAATTCTTGGCCATCATGGATCAGAGACATGTAGAAAGAATATATCAAGAAAACATAAATACATCACAGGAGGAGATATATAGTATACTGCAACTAATTCAAACAATATAAAAAAGTTGAAATGACTTAGATAAAGGAAATGTTTTAGATACTTAAATGTGATTGAATTTAAGAAAATTATAATGAATAAAAATGTTTTAAATAAGAGTTAAAGGACTAGATGACTAGATGTATTAAATGGAATGTTTAAAGATTAAAAATATTTTTAATTATGGTTAAAAAGAACAAGAAATTTGGGAAATAAATATATATTAGCTTAGGAGGGATATATATTTTAAGTAGCATGTTATTTTTATGTTTATTTACTCTTGCTCTCCTTTCTTTTTTTCTCATTGTTTTTTCTATTCCTTAAGAAATGTAAAAGTGTGAGATGATTCATATGGAAAAATAGAGTTAATTTTTTAAATGTAATTAATTTTTGAGAAAATCTTAACCAGTAAGAATACCTAGAATTTGGTGGGAGAAACAAACTAAAATAAGGACTGTAACAGGATCTATGATAAGGCAACCAGAATGATTGGATAGAAAAGAAATATTATATTGATGTGATTATTATTTTTAGGAATGTTGGGAAAAAGTATATATTTAACTAGCTGTACCCAGCCACGCATTGCTGTGGCTCAGTGTGGTTAAATGGAAAAGAAAGAAAAGAGAAAGCACACATTTGTAATATGTTTAATTTCACAATGCTTGTGGGTATACAATATTTTTTGTTGTTCCATTGTGCGTGCAGATATAGAGATTACGTCCAACAGATGGCGCTGTTTTTCAAAAAAAGCATGTTTTTACCTGTCACAGGTGTGACATCTATATAATATAGGTATATAAAAACACGTGCATATTCGAATGTAACATTGTGTCAAAATTTCAAAGCAATCGGTGAAGAACTTTCGGAGATTTAAGATTTTGAACAAACGAACATTTACATTTTTATTTATATAGATAGATATAATAATAAGAATTGTATTAATTCAATGTTTGCAAAAGAGGATATTTTGGGAAAAGAAGAAATCAACTAATACCATTATGTGGATTATGGATTATAGAAATCAATTGTTAGTGATTGTTTTACAAATGTAACCCAGACAACACACTGTTCACCAATTATTTAAGTGATTTATGTTTTAAAAAAATCAATAAATATATTACAAAAAGAAGAAGAAGAAGAAGAAAACAACAACTCGCTACCCTTCCTGAAACTCCTGATCAGCAGAGACCATAATGGCAAACTAGAAATGCAGTCTACAGAAAAACTACCCATACTAACCAGGTGCTCCACTAGCAAAGCAACAATCTCCCACAAGAGAAGCTGTGTAAAAACTTTATTTAAATGGGTCCAACACACTGCAGCAATTGAGAACAGCAGAAAAAGGAAATGGACCATCTATTCAACACATTCCAACAAAATGGATACCATGCAACTTCATTAAAAAGTCCTTGACGACTCAACCTAATACAGCACTACCAACACAAACCCTAAAAAGAATTATACTTCCATACATCAAGAATATCTCAGAAACTGCAAATAGACTGCTACAACCACATGGAATCAGCATAGCACACAAGCCAACTGAAGCCCTTCAAAATATCCTAAGAAATCAGAACACCCAGCAATCCCAGAAGAAAAAACAGGAATCATCTACAACAGTGGTAGTCAACCTGGTCCCTACCGCCCACTAGTGGGCGTTCCAGCTTTTTTGGTGGGCGGTAGGGGTTCAATCGAGCCGTTTAAATTTTTGGATCCATTGAGCCCTCCGATTGGCTCACAGAGCTTTCCAGCAGGCGTGGGGTGTTAGCCTCAGCTGTGTGACCCCCCACGGAGCTCTTGGAGGCCAGAGAGCCTCGCTGAAGTGCGCCATCATCGCGAGGCTCCCGTCAACTTTCTCGACAATCCGGATCGCAGCAGAGGCTGCGCAACGAGATAAAACTGCAAGTGCCTCATTTTCCGCTTCGGGGGGTGGAAATTAAAGGCACAACGAACAACAAGCTTCCTCTTAGAGCCCCTCATGGCTGGGAAGGCCCAGCCGAAATACAAGCGGCTGCTAATTTTGGTGCGGCCGCCATTTTGAGAGCCGCACAGAGCCCTCAGTCATAGAGATTTCAGACATCTCTGACAAAAACCAGGCTCTCTCTTCATCCTGCTGTGACAGGCACGGATTGGGGGCAAACCAGACTCCACTGGGCATTCCCTCAATACCAAGGTAGAGGCCATAAAGGCTTTCTCTTCATTCCTGCTTGCCCAGGACTTAAATTGGACATGGAAAAACGATTTGAAGATATTTTGAAATTGAAGGTGTATGACTGGATGAAAAATCCTTTTACCATAAATATTGAAGAGGCTGATATAACTTGCCAAGAAGAACTGTTAGAAATTAGATATGATGAAGAAAGTAAACATAAATTTGAAAGTGGTGGATATGAAAACCTATGGCAAAGTAAAAAAAATGCCTGCCTTATATCCAAATATGTGGAAAATGATATTCAGTTTATTGATACCTTTCCCTACCTCATATCTTGTGGAATCAGGCTTTAGTGCTGTTAATCATATTATGACCAAAGAAAGAAACTGCCTGAATATTTCCGAAAGAGGAGACCTTCGTTTGTTCCTTACAAAAATTGAGCCAGATATCCAGTATTTAGTTTCGCAGCATCAGCCTCAGGGATCTTATTAATAATTTAATTAATTAAATGTAATTTCATCAGACTTCCTGTTTCTACAGTGGGGCAAAAAAGTATTTAGTCAGCTACCAATTGTGCAAGTTCTCCCACTTAAAAAGATGAGAGAGGCCTGTAATTGTCATCATAGGTAGACCTCAACTATGAGAGACAAAACGAGAAAACAAATCCAGACAATCACATTGTCTGATTTGGAAAGAATTTATTTGCAAATTATGGTGGGAAATAAGTATGTGGTCACCTGCAAACAAGCAAGATTTCTGGCTCTCACAGACCTGTAACTTCTTCTTTAAGAGGCTCCTCTGTCCTCCACTCATTACCTGTATTAATGGCACCTGTTTGAACTGGTTATCAGTATAAAAGACACCTGTCCACAACCTCAGTCACACTCCAAACTCCACTATGGTGAAGACCAAAGAGCTGTCAAAGGATACCAGAAACAAAATTGTAGACCTGCACCAGGCTGGGAAGACCGAATCTGCAATAGGCAAGCAGCTTGGTGTGAAGAAATCAACTGTGGGAGCAATAATTAGAAAA